AAGATCTGGAGGAAGAAATCCACTCTTCGGATGACGAAAAAGGTCTGTCATGTTATAGTGTATTTAAACAACGAAAAAGCTGGGATTATCGGTGTGGAATCCTCAACATGGATCTTCTTTTTTCCCTCAAGTCTTTACTTTGGTAAAGTTCTTTGTTGTTTGGTGCGAATCTCCTTTGCTATATAATTAGCTTTATTCCTTGACTAGTCTCGAGTTATGTTTATTTGGTATGTTTATCTATCCCCTTTTCTTTGGTAACTCTAAAATTTATTGAAGCCGATCATTTTAATTTTAGCATCGTCGAATTTTTGGCTCCACTTTCTTTTCAACCCTTTGTATAGGGAATTTTCCCTGATATTTTGCCAATGAGTAACAATTTTTTCAGATAAGAAGACAGCTTTGCTGAATGATGTTGGCTATGGGAATATGGAAATGGCTGAGGGTGCGCTGGAGTTGCAAATGCGAGCTGTGCAGAGTGGAGCTTGTGAGAAGGTTAGTCCAAGCACTAATCATATTTGTTCTCATAGCTTTCTCTTTTTATTTAAGCTTGCTTGGCGTGCTGCTGAAATCCGGGAACATTTTCGATTATTGTACAAAAATGAGGGAAAACTTCTGCTCAAGCTGTTTCCCATGCTTAATGATGAAGGCGTGGGTTACTTTACTGTTCTACTTCATTTCATTATTGGTCATCTTGTGGTATATATTGATTAGAATACTGCATAAACAGGCTGGTGGTTTATGCCCTCTTGATGGTCTTTTTTGTGAATTGATTATGGTTCCTCCCACCAAATTTCGACCCATAAGGCTTTTCAAAGGCGAGCGCTATGAGAACCCACAGTCAGTAAATTTACGAAGAGTTTTGGAAGCGACGGAGACCATAAAGGTGTGTAGTCTTTGTAGCAGTTATTTTGCAGTGTGAACGTTATTCTCTTTTTTTCCCAGGCGGTATCGTTAGTTCTAAATGGAGACAAAAGCCCACAACTGATGGAGCTGATCACAAATAGGACGCAGGGGAAGACTATGAACGCAAAAATGCACAGCGCTTATCTTTCTTTACAACAACGAGTGAATGCTATTTATGATGAGGTAAGCGTCGGTACAGCCCTCCTCCCCCATTTTTCTCGTGAACTTTTGGACTGTCTTCTCAATTGAACTTGTGACACTTTTCTACTTTTCCTCATGCGTCACCAAAGTTTCTAGGAACTTGATAAAAATGACCAGAATAAAATTCCCGGCATAAAACAAATTCTGGAGAAGAAACAAGGCCTCTTTCGAATGAACATGATGGGAAAACGTGTAAATTTTGCGTGCAGGTGAGAGCCCCTTCTTGGTTTTGAGGTCTTCTTAGTCTATCTTTTAAGATCTGTAATCACTCCTGATCCTTACCTGGATATAGATGAGATTGGAATTCCTGAAATTTTTGCAAAGAAGCTGACATTTACGGAGCCAGTTAATATCTTCAATAAGGAGCAAATGAGGAGGCTTGTCTGTAATGGTCCGAATGTTCACCCCGGGTGAGAAGTCTCATTCTTGTCGCTACACCTTCTTGTCGGAATCTTTTTGACCTATCCTTAACCTGCTTTGAACATTGAATTTCAGCGCTAACTATATAGTCAGCAGCTCAAATAAAAAGCAGATGCTTGGGGGCATGTTTCCGGGAT